ATTTCCAGCTTCTCCCGCAGGGTTAAGTCCCTAAAAAATGTTCTTTTGCCCACTAGCAATTCTGAAAGAAGCAGAATTTTGCTTCTTTAAAATTCAGTAATTAGATAATTCCCTACTCTTGAGAGAGAAAGGGTGGAGAGGTAGAAAAGAAAGTAAGAGGATTGGAGCCCAAGGTTTTCTGACCTACGATGTTAGGTTGCATGACTGTTGGGAGGATAAAGAAGAACAGAAAAAATGCCTTGATATTGAGTGGAGGTGGTGAGTTGAGTTGTAAAATTTTGAGCAGACTTCAACATAAGACAATGGAGAGAAGTTACCAATTGTGTAACAAGTGGTGCTGATGGCGATGATGGAGGCAGGGGGCTGAACAGGTTGAGAAGGCTCTTAGCTGGGAGCAGAGAGAAGACAGATTTTGTATGGCAAGAAAAGTTGATGGTTCAGCACAAGTGTGTGATGTAAGAATAAACTTTTGTATCTCCCTAACATGATGCAGGTGACATACTGATCATAAGAGTCTCTACCACATCTTCTAAAGTCTGCAATGGAGACCTTTCCTTTTCTTTTCAGTAAAACTTTTCTGAAGTTTTACTATGCCATGCCCCCAATATAGTAGTAGAGAGGTTGGAAACAATGGATTTTAGAAAAGCAATAGAGCAGGGCTTCTCCGTCCATGCAGACATTCCAGTATCTCAGAATCACTTGAGAATTATTCCTCCCTCCGTTACTGCATAGTTCCAGCTTGCCTCTTGTTATAGATGTTATAGTTCTAGCTTGCCTCTTTTTTAATCAGCACCTTATACTTGTTGTCCTCTCCACCCCCTTTCTCTCTCAACTTTCCTCTCTCTCTTTCTCTTTAGTAAGGGATTGAAAAAAATCAAAATGGGCTTCTAAGAGTCTTTAACTCAGGAACAAAGTATCAGTTGGTTAATCTAAAGTAAATGTGTAGTTCATCCATAGACTTTTTAATAGATGAATTCTATAAACAGAATCCAAACACATCTCAGAAAGAATATCAAATACAGTATTATAATATCAAATCATAGGGAATTTTTTTTTAAAGGCATTAAGGACTTAATGCCTTTATTTGGTTTTATGTGGTGCTAGGATCAAACCCAGTACCTCATACTTGTGAGGTAAGTGCTCTACCACTGATCTACAACTCCAGTCCCTAGGGAATGTTTTTTAAATTTTCTATATGACCAGGCACAGTGGTGCATGCCTATAATCCCAGCAACTTGGGGGGCTGTGCAGGAGGATCACAAGTTCAAAGCCACCCTCAGTAACTACACAAAGCCCTAAGAAACTTAGTGAAGCCCATCTCAAAACAAACAAATAAAAAATAAATGGACTGGGGATATGGCTCAGTGCAGTGGTTAAGCACCCCTGGGCACTTCTGGTACCAAAAAAAAAATCTTTCTGAATGTTTAATTGTGATAAAGTACATATTACAAAAAAATTACCATCTTAGCCATTTTTTGGTTTACGGTTCAGTAGAGTTAAGTATATTGATATTATTTTTTTTAAATATTTTTGTTTTAATTAGTTATACATGACAGTAGAATGCATTTATGCACTTTGATATATCATACATAGATGAGATATAACTTCATTTTCTCTGTGTACATGTTGCAGAACCATATTGCAGTAGTAATATCTGTTTCATTCTACTATATTTCCTAGCCCCACTTCCCCTCCCCATCCCATCACTTTCCTCTACCTAGTCTAAGGTAACGCTATTCTTCCCTAGTGCCCCCCAGCTTATTGTGAATTAGCATCCTCATATTAGAGAATACATTCGGTCTTTGGTAGTTCCATTACCAGTTTTCTGATGAATCTCCATACTGCTTTCCATAGTGGTTGCAC